AGGGGGTTGGCAGGCAGGTTGCCATAGGGACAGGCGCTCAGGGATGTCCTGGGCTTTCTGGGCTGGCTTTCTGCCCAGAAACGGCTCTGGTCACTCTGGACACCAGAGCTAGAGCGGGGGATGGGACCAGGGGATGGTATGGTCAGAGTCTCTAGTTGCGGGCACTATGGAAGGTTCCTGAAGAAGCCAACATCTGCTGCCCCATGGGACGGGGAAGGCTCCACCTGGAGAGCCTGGAGGACCATTTTCTGACTCTGGCTGACCCAGAGCCTCTGCCCCAGTCTGAGCCCCAATTGTCACTCCAGTCTGAGCCATGATCCTGACCTCACACTGAACCTGGCCCACATGTACTCTGGTCCTCACCCCAGGATGAGCGTTGACAACCCAGGGATGGAGGGAGGGAGGATCGAGGAGCTGTGGAGACCAGGAAGGCTCTGGAGGAGGAGGAGGGAGGTCTGGGGTGGGGAGACTTCTCTGGTCCATCCTTCCTCCTCTCCCCTTTCCTCCCTCCCTCCTTTTCTTCCTTCCTTCCTTCCTTCCTTCCTTCCTTCCTTCCTTCCTTCCTTCCTGCCTTCCTGCCTTCCTGCCTTCCTGCCTTCCCCTCTCTCCCTCCTTCCATTGTTATTTATCTCCTGCCTGCTGAGTGCTGGAGAAGCAGCCCAGCTGTTGAACCCCTTCATTCTTCATCACCATAGACAGTGGAGCAGGCTGAGGTGCTTTGGGCATTGGGCCCAACCTCAGAACTAGGGACCCTGTAGATTCAGAGCCCGGAGATGCAGCAGATGGGCAAGGACCAAGGCGAGCGACAGCAGAGACCAGAAGGCCAGCTGTGGACACTCACAGGGGACAGGTCTGGGAGAACATAAGGCAGGCAGAAAAACAGGAGAGCCACTGGCAAAGGACAGCTGGCCCAAGGGATCCTCACCAGTAGGTGGCCAAGTTTGGGGGCTGGGTGGGCTGGGCCACCCCAGGCTCTCCAGGCTTGCCCTAGCCAGGCAGATAGGAATTCTACTAAAGCTCAAGTCCCTTGCTGAAGCTCCCACTGTCATAGGCCATCTGTCATAGGCCAGGCTTGAGAAAGCCACACTGACCAGCCAGGGAGGTCACCCTTGGGACACACAGGGTCAGAGAGGGCTTGGCTGGAGTGGGCTGAGGTTAGTGGGCCTGACAGTGGCCTTGGGCAAGCCATTACTCCTCTCTGCTTTGAATTCCTCATCTGTGGAATGGAAAGGACAAGACTCTCATCAAGGGGCTGTTGGGAGGATTATATTGAACTAAGGATTATGGGAGTGCTGAGCATAGGACAGCTCAGCCCAGGAGAGGTGGGGCGCCATTGTTTCCTGTAAAGTTCAGTCTTTCCATCCAAGAAGTAGGGCAAGCTCAATGAAGAAATCTGAAAGGGAATACAATCATGTGTGTCCCTATTGTCCCCTGAGATGGCCATTGTTCCGCATGGGTTCCATTTCTTTGCAGGCTCTTGAACATAGTTGAGATCTCGCTGTATGCTATACCTTTTCACCCAGGGCTTTTACCCAACATGAGAATCCTAGGTCCCCATGTCTCCCAAAGGCTCTGTCAAATACTTGCACACAGGCTTTGAAGTCAAACTGACTTAAAAGAACAGGGTGTCCTGAAACAGGACAGTTTTAAGCTTTTATAACCTCAGAAGTATAAAGCCACAGATTTATAAGAAACACAGTTTGGAAGTTTATTTATTTATTTATTTATTTATTTATTTATTTATTTATTTATTTAAAATTTCCTTTTTTTTTTTTGCCCTGTAGAGATAGCAGAAGACTGAAAAAATTGAAGTTATTATCCAAAGTTCACAAAACTAAAGTAGCATAAAGAAAATTTAAGTAATGAAATTTTCAAACTGTGTTTCTTATAGATTTGTAGCTTTCTACTTTATAACTTCTAAAGTTATTAAAGCTTAAAACTAAGACTCCTGGGGCATGATCATCTTGACAGCTGTGAGACCTCAGTGGGCTACTTAACCTCTGACTGAGCTTCATTGCTTCATCTGTAAAATGGGTATAACGACAGTATCATGGCACCTGAACATCACAAGCCTTCAGGCAATGCTAGTTGTTCTGACTGTTGTGGTTATTGTGGATTTTGTGCAGTGTGATATTACAGGGTAGTAAAACCCAACGGCACCTCATTCAGTGCCCTATTGTCAAACATTTGCGTTTTTCCCAATTCTCCAAAATGTGAAACACCACGGTGAGAGAAACACCCTGAAAGCTAAAGACTTTTCCATCTTTGAAGGCTCTTCTTCCTCTCCTCTTTGTACTTATGAGGAATTGAGGCCAGAGAGGGGTTGTGCCCTGCGTTAGGTCACACAGGAACTGAGGCCTCAAACTCGGTCTGTGGCTCTTAACCCAGGGCTCTGCCCCCTGTCCAGTACTATTTCTATTTTTTATGAGGTCCCCAGATCCCCCTGCACCCTATCCTACCAGTAGGGCCCATCAAATCTGGGGTGGCAATGCTCTAGACCCTCAGGCTCCTCAGACTCCCCAGCCAGGCTCCCCTGGAAGACAGTGTCCCCCCTCCATGCATGATGGCATGAATGCTGGCCTGCGGAACCCTGTTTGTCCTTTGTGTGCTATTTTTAGCTTCTGTGGGTTTCCGGTAGGGACCCAGTCCAGTCTCCTGGGCCTCTGGTTTGGAGGCCATGGGCAGAGTCAACTGATAGTGGCCAGGGGAAACTGCGACAGTTCTTTCATGGAGCCAGAAATGCCAGGGCTCAAGGCTCAGCTCTGGTGAAGCAGAAGGTTGGGAGTGCGTATCCTCCCAGTCGCAGAGCTAGGCTGGGATCCGGGACATCTTGGACTTAGCCAGGGCTGGAGGTGGGGTGGGGTGGAGTGGGGAACTGGGCTGCCTAGGCCTGTGACACAGTGGCTGGGGCCTGCTGGGAGCTGGCCATATCTGACCTTGTTGGCCCCAGGCCTGGCCCAGAATAGCTCTGGGGCTGGGCTGGGCTGGGCCTGGTGAGACGTCTGTGTACAGAAGCATGTGCTTGTGTCCCAGGGCTCTCATGGACACAGCAGTGCACGCGTACTCTGCACTTGCCTCTCTGTGGGTCTGAGTGTGAGTCTTAGTGTGTGTTCTGTGGCGCAGTATGTAAGTCTGTGTCCATGGGGATGGGCACATGGTCTGCATGGGTCCATGCACCGGGCTGCCTCCTGAGATGTGCTACATGGGAGTCCTGCGAGTGTGTTCAATAGTAGATGGGTATGTGTGCACACCACACATCCCCGTGGCTGTGGGATCTTACTTGTGTGCAGGGGATGTGAGAGTGGTGTGCGTGGGTGTGCACAGATCTGTGGTGGGACTGGGCAGGGCCCCTTGGCTATGTTGCAGGGGACCAAGGGCAGGGGGAGGCTGTCTTTTGGGCACTACTTGGGGCATTACAAATGACTTGGCCCTATCCGAGAGAGAGAGAGAGAGAGAGAGAGAGAGAGGCTTGGCAGGTTTTGCCCCATTTCGCAGATAATAATACTGGGATTGGCAATGCTGGTGAGGTCACCCAGCCTGGGGGTGGGTGGTGGTGAAGGGAAGACCAGCCCCCAGGCTTCCAATTCCCTAGATGAGGCTGAACAGGAAGTCTGGGCCGTGGGGAGGAAGCAGGGGGGCCTGTCCCTTCCTGCTCCAGCCCGGCTCCTCCCTCAGCTACAGGTACAGATGAGGACACGGAGACCCAAAGAGGGGAAGGGCTGGCCCAGAGAAGCCAAACACAAAATCAGCTTCCTCCTGCTCCGGACTCTGTCCTTCCTGCCTTGCTTGTCACACATGGTGAGAACACACTCCTGGAGAGTCTTGCTCTCTCTGCATGTGGCCATGGCCATTCTCCAGCCCTTGACCCTTCCTCCCAAGCCCCAGAAACCCCTTGCCTGATCATCCCCATGTGCCAGGGGACCCACAGACCCACTGAGACTCTGCTCCTCTGGGAAGGAGCCCCTTGAACCATCATGTGCCCCCTCCACTGGGGATCTTTCTTCAGCTTGGCAGGATGGGGCATGACTCCCAACCCCTCAGACTTGAGTAGGGGGTTGGTGGGCCACCCTTTCTGCTCTTCCACTGCCTGTACCAGGCCTGTTGGCCTCAGTGTTGTCAGCCATGAAAGGGGCAATGACTCCTGTCATCCCTTGGAACCCGTGTCCCAGGGGAAGTGATGCGGGGGGGACTGGCGTGTCCACTGGAGGGGGACCAGGCGGCACACAGCAGGCTCCTTTGTTCCAGGCTGAACCACTGTCCTCCCCCTCCTGGGATTAGGCTTCCACCACCCTTTCCAAGGTCGCAGGTCCTGGAGCAGACAAGCGCTGGCTTCTCGCTCTACTGGGCCGTGGAGACCCAGGAGTGGGGGCAGGGGGACTTCCCCAAGGTCACATAGAAAGGAGTGGCGGCTGGCCGTACACATCTGGCCCAAGGGGCCGCGGGGCAGCCTCGGTTTCCCCCACTCTCGGCTTCAAGTTTCTTGTGATTCGGTAAGGGTGGAGGAGGTCACGGGGCTGCACCCAGGCCCCAGAGCGTCAGGGGCGAGTGCACCGGAAGGCCCCGCCAGGACCAAGAAAGCCAGGCTGCTTCCCGGAAACTGCCTGCTGTCCCGGGAGCCTTTCCCCAGGAAACCAGGCTAGCCCGGGCCTGCGTGAGTGTGTGAGCGAGCGGGCGAATGAGTGAGGGAGTGTGTGTATGTGTGTGTGTTTCAGGGGGCGGGAAGAGTCAGTCCCCCTTCTCTCGCTCCCGCTGGGTGCCAGGAGCCTTCGGACCCCGGAGAACTCCGGGGAAAGGCCTTAAGAGTAGACCTCCGGCGGGGGACGGACCGACGCCGCGTCCCACTTCCCGCCAGCCGGGTCCGTCGGCGCCCGCCCCAACTTCTACAAGCAACTCCCGAGAGCGGGGCGGGGCGAGGGGCGTGGCAGCCGCCGGGGGCGTGGCGTGGCGTGGCGGCCGCCGGGGGCGTGGCGTGGCGGGGGCGTGGCGGGGCGTGGCGGGGCGTGGCGGGCGCCGGCGCGAGGCAGCGTGCGGGCGGGCGGCGGGGAGCTGCGGCGACACTCCCGGCTCCCGGCACCGGCATCGGCACCGCACAGGTGAGGGCGGGGCGGAGGTCGCGCGTCTGTGGGCGGGCTCCTGTGCTCCGCGTTCCCCTCACTCCAGGTGGGACTTTCGCCTAGCGCCCCCTTGGGCCGGCTGGTCGCCGTCCCTGCACGACTCCACGGTCCCAGGCGGCACTCACACGGGGGCCGTCCGAGTTTGTCCCAAGGCGCCCTCCGTGCCAGCGGGCTCAGGCGTCGTCGTCCTCCCTGCCCCGTGCTCACCCGGCTCAGGTTTAGGGGCAGCGCAGGGACAGCCTCCGCACCCCCGCCTGGGGTACGAGGGCCGCCCCCTGGACTTCACCCAGCCTGGGAGACTGCCAGGAGGAGGTGGCGCCTGCAGTGAGACCGGCATGGGCAAATGCCTGGTGGCTGGAACAGGATCCCATGTTTGGGAAACTCTGGGGACTGCGTGTGCGGGGGCAGGGAGGAGCAGAGAAGCTGTGAGAGACTGGGAGTGGGGCCAGGGGGGCGGGGCTGAGGGGGGGGAGATGTCTAGGACAAGAAGCTGAGAGCTATGGAGGGCCAGAGAAGGGGTGCTGGGGGAGAGGCCAAAGTGGAGACTGAGGGGTCAGCTGTGGCAGTTGGGCAGCCCCTCTCTGCTCTACTACTGCACTTGCTGGTTATTTTAGGCCACCCTGGGGCAGCCCAGGAAAAAGTCTCTGTGGCAGGCAAAACTTCCTTGCCTGTCCAGACCAGGAAATACCAGAGTGGGTGCCATGACAGGGTGTGGCCCAGGGGCCTGAGGGGCCTGAGGGGCCTGAGGGGCCTTGGAGAGGGGAGGGGAGGCCTCAGTGACCCTGCCTGAGAGCAGTCTGGCGCAGCCAGAGGCCAGGAATGCAGGGAAGGAGCAGGTCTGGCTGCTGGTTAGATCGACATGGGGACGGGCAGCTGACTCACCTGGGCACGCTGAGACTAGCCAGTTTTGTCCTCACCCCGCCCCACAGGGAGCACCAAGGCTGCCTGAGGAGGTAGGAGGCTGGGCCCTGCTGGGAATTTGCTATGTGCCCTGAGGCAAGTCACCTAGCCTTTCTTAACCACCTCGCTCAGGTGAGCCTGGTGGGACAGGGAGCCAGAGGCCTGGGTCTGAGCCCTGCACATGCTCTACAGATAGTGTCTTGACCCTCCGGTTCCTTCCTAGGCCTCAGTTTCTCCTTACGTACCTCATGTGCAGCCTACCACTAAACCTGGGTAGAGGGCGAGGGTAAGGAGACCATGCCCTTGACCAGAGCCGGGTGTGTTGGGGGTATGACGGGTTTGAGCAGGTATTACTCCTGCTGGGTCCCTCTCATGTTATGGCTTAGCACCTCCCCTCACCCCCAGACACACTCATGCCTGGTCTGCTCCCTGTTCTCACACCTTTGGTTGCCTCCAGGATGAAGCCCCAAGCTCCCTAGCCAAGGAGCAGGGCCCCATGGTCACCACCAGGCCAGATCCCCAGCCTCATCTGCAGCCTTCCCCCCCCTGCCCACAACCTCACCAGCCATGCTTACTTCTGACCTTTCCTCTGGGCAGTGTGCCTCAGTTTCCTAGGGGTAGACATCCCTTTGGGGCCACAGATCTGGAAGGGTCCTAGAGTCATGTCTGCCAGTCTGGGTCTGTAAGACACATCCTGAGGGGTCCAGGCCGCTTTGAGTGGGGAGGGAGGCTGAGGACCAGGTCTCCACACCCAGAGCAGCTCCCCCTACCAGTTTGTCCTTTCTAGGGAGGGCTTAGTTTGAAAGCCCTGATCTAATCAGACCCCCATTTCATAGAGGAGGTGACAGAGGCCTAGAGAGGAGCAGGGCTCTGGCTAAGCTGGAGCATGACCAGGACTGAGCAGTGGGTAGAGGGTCAGCAGGGAGTCCTGTGGGAGCAGCTGAAGTGTGGACCACGGGTGCAGGCCGGTTGGTAGGAGGAGCCCTGCAGGGGGGAGAGGGGGTAGTCTGAGGTGGAGAGGGACAGAGAGCTCCATGTCCTGGGTGCGGGGTGGATGGGGTGGGTCCCAGGTCAGTGCAAGTGTGGGGGATACTTGGTATTCAGGACCTCCCAGCCTCGAGCTATTGACTGCAGGTCCGCACTCGCCGTGATCTGGTTCCTAGTCCACACCTCCTGTGCCGGCTGCACCCTCTTCCTCTACCTTTAGCCCGTGTCCTCACCTCTCAGTTCAGACCACGACTGACTGGCTGCCAACTGAGGATGGAAAAGTCACCCCCCAAAGGGCCTTTCCATTCTGTCCGTTTCTGGAGATAATGGGGGAGGGTCAGGCGGACCACACTTGCTGTACTCTGGCCCCTTGGCTGGGCTCTCCTGGTCTGCCTGAGTTGACCCGGAGCGACCTGCCCTGCTGCCCCAGGTCAGGCAGGGGGGTGCGCAGTTTACCGGGGCTGCTGCAGGGGCCCGCAGAGAGAGCAGGCCACGGCTGGGTGTCTAGCTGCTTCCCCTTCCTGCCTGTCCCTCCCAAGGCCTCGCCCTCCTGAAGCAGCGGTAGCAGGAAAGGTGGGGCAGGAATGCCTGGGCCTAGGCCCTTGGCCAGAGTTCTGAGGCACCCGTCCCACTGCCCCAAAGCCTGTTCCCTGGGAGCTGTAGATTTTGCCCGGGGCCTGGAATGCCCTCTGGTGCCCCTGGGGCTGGGTTGGGAGGGATGAGACCCCTTCCTCTTCCCCCTTTTGGGTCTGTGTGTGTTGCCTACCCATTCCAGCAGCTTTGATTGGATCTCCCACCCCACCCCACTCAGCTAACTGTGGAGCCTCAGGGTGTCAGAGCCAGGGAGAGGCAGTGCAAGGGTCTAGGGCTAAAAACCCTCCAACTCTCAACCCTGAGACATCTGGTCAGGTCATTTGGGCAGATGAACTTTGCTTGGTGAGGGCACCCAGCTCTGGTGGGAGAGGGCTGTGTCTGCTTGGAGGCTGGGGTGGGGGGGCGGGGGGTTGGAGCCCAGGCCCCTCGCTCTCATCAGAAAGCCACATTCCCAGGGGATCCCCTGCCTGCTTGGTGGGTACCTCACTCTAGGGTGGGAAGGTCAAAGACTCAAGCCCACCTGCCCACCCCTGCAGCCCTTCCCTCTTTCCTCCGGGCACAGTAGGGTCGGCGGGGTTGGGGGCACGGAGGATCTAGCTGTCACCCACACTGACCTCACCCTCCCACTGCTCAGCACTGTCTCCTCTACAGCTGTCATCACGCCCGTCTCTGCAAGTCTGGCTTTGGGTCCTACCACTCCCTTGCCCTGAGATCCTCCATGGCTCCTCCCATGGCCATTTAGGCCACTCTTGGTGGGCCACCCTCGGAGCCTGGGCCCTCATGCCCATGATCCTTTGCTCTCATGGTGTCCCCACCTGCATGCTTTGTCCTCCTCTTTGCCTCTTTATTTCTTGCCTATCCATGATGGCTCCAGCAGGAGAGCACCTCCCTATTCCCCCAGACCTCTCCTTGCTTACATAGCCCTTTGGGTGACAGGGGGTCCTGAACCATGGCCTTGAGAAAAAGGCTGGGTTTCTCTGACAGTAGGTCCTCGTTTCCAGAGACTCGGTGGAGAGGGAGTGAGGTCAGAGCACCATCAGATACTACTCTGAGCCCTTGGGAGCCATAGTGGATGTGTGAGCAAGGGAATGAGCAGGCCAGAACTGGGCTCGAAGAACACCTGCCTTTTTGGCTAAAAAGGGATGCTTCCCTGAGCAGTTCTGAGGCCTCTCTCCCGCTCAGTCAGGTCCCTGCAGCTGGGCCCAGGGGCAGAGCAGGGCAGGGGTCAGCGGCTAGTCCAGAAATTCCCCTTTGAGGGTACCCGGGCCGATTGCTGACACCTGTTGTGGGCAGTCTCGGGCACACGGACGGAAGACGTGGCCCTGACCCAGCTCTCACTGGTGCCCTCACTCCAGCCTGTGCCCCGTTCACAGGTCCTGAGGGCAGCGCTCTAGCCATGTGCAGCCTGGAGGAGGAGGCCCTGCTGCGGCTAGAGGAGGTCTTCTCGGCTACCCTTGCCCGCGTCAACAGCCTTGTCCTCCTGCCCCTGCTCGAAACCAGTGAGTCTCGGCTTGGCAGTGGCAAGGGTGGGGGACACAGGAAGCATCCTGGGGATCCGAGTCCTACCTTGTTAGACCTCCTGAGGCACAGCTTTCTGCACCTCAAACGGGAGTGGGGACACTTGGTGTCGGCATCTTCCAACGGGCCTGGGGCTCTGGCTCCAGCCGCTGGCTGCTCCCTTCTCCGAGGCGCCCCAGGGGTCGGGCCGTGAACCCCTAGCCTAGACCCAGCTGTACACAGAGTCAGAATCCCACCTCTTCCAGGGCACGGGCCTGCTCTGCCTGGATTCGCATCCTGCTCTCACCCAGGGCATGACCCAGTTTGGGTCTCCCACTTGTGAAGTGACCTTGGTCAGGTGCCTTCCACTTGGGGGCTCTGTGCGAGCATCTGTGGGTGCCAGGGGACCACGGGATCCTACGGACCCCATATCCCAGACCTGAGGAAGCTCAGAGACTCGGGGCAGCTAGTGTACTTGGTGCCCCTGGGTCATGAGTGCTGACCCTGTTTCGTGGGGGGGTGGATATGTGCCCCACTCACTCCTCAAGGGTGCTGCCCTACGCTCCAGCCTGCCCGTCCCTGCTGAGCTCAAGGGGCCACGTTGGCTTCCTGGCCTGTCCCAGGGACCCCGAGGAGGCAGGACCCCGGCTGCAGCTCCCGGGCTGTGGGGTGCCGCGCCCCCCTCACTTTGCGGTTGTGCCCCCCGCCCCAGCCCCAGAGCCCTCGGACCCCCAGGGCAGAGAGTGCCTCCGGCTCTTGCAGCGGCTGCATCGGAGCTCCCAGCGGCTCTGGGAGGTGACGGAGGAGAGCCTGCACTCCCTGCGGGAGAGGCTGTGCCACCAGGACACCGTGGGTCTGGAGTCCCTGCTGTTGCTGCAACATGCAGAGCGCATCCTGCAGGTCCACGTGGAGTAAGACAGCGAGGAAGGCTGGGGCTGGGCCTGGGCGCCGCCGGGCACCAGGGCTCACCTGGGTCAGGCTTAGGCCAAGGTTTGAGTTTAGGCTGCGGTGGGGCTCAGCTGGGGTCAGCCTCAGGGGCTTGGGCCTCAGCCCGGCACCGGCTCAGACACCCCAGACCTGAGTGTTGGGGCCTCCCAGGGAAGAAAGACTGAGTTGGAATTGTCTGGTTGGGGCGGGGCTGCAGCCACTCAGTGAGCGGGATCGGGATCCGGGGACCCCGGCAGCGCAGGGGTCTGGGTGTAAAGCTGTGGGCGGGGCCTGCAGGCTGTCTTCTTTGCTGCCCGCAGGTACATCGAGTCCTACACTAGCTGCGTGGTGGTGCAGGCCTTTCAGAAGGCAGCAAAGAAGAGGAGGTGAGCTCAGGATGTTGCAGGGGCCCTCTGCGCAGGCGAGGGTGCCCGGGAGGGAAGGTCGCGGGAGTCCCAGCCCCAGAGCAGAGTGTCACAGCCCATGACTCATCCTGAGCGCTCCTGGGTCTAACAATTCCACACTGCTCTGCACTGGAAGAGAGGGAGGGAAGGCTGTGGGGGCCGTGAGCACAATCCAGATATCCACTGGCCAAGCTTGACCCTGGGAAGGAGAAGGGGGACCGTCCTGTTCAGGGGGGGTGGTTATTGCCATTGACTCTCCAATAGGGTGGCTGTATTTCTCTGCTAGGAGAGCAGTTTGGGGTCTGGGACTGCTCCTGGGATCTGGGGGCTTAGCTGGAGCGCGGAGGGCGGGGTGGATGGCGGTGGGTTCGGGAATGGAGGAGGGGAGTGAAGGCGGTGTGTGGCCCTCCCTCCACCCAGGGAGTTCTGGCGGGGCCAGCGGAAGGCCCTGTGGCAGCTGCTGCCGGGCGTGAGCTCCGAGGCCTCGGTGGGCACAGCGCTGGCCCAGGCCCTCCGCGAGCCACTGGCCCATCACGTGCAGCAGTATGTGCTCCTCCTGCTGAGCCTCGGGGACACGGCTGCAGAGGTAAGTAGCAGGGACGTTGGGGGGCCGGGGGCTGCTCACTGGGCCTGTTGCTTGAAGCTGAAGGAGGAGGGAAATAGGGCCCCGGCTCCGGGGACTCTGCTTACTCAGGGATCCCGGTTTGAGAAGGACCTGGCCGCGCTTTGGGGACAGGGCCGTGTTCTGCAGGGTGGGGGGGGTGGGGGAGGGTTTGACGGGGCCTGTCCTTGCCCTGGCCTGTCTGAGGTACATGGCTGCGCCCTGGTGGGGCCGGCAGAGACCCAGGAGCAGATGGAGAGTCGTGTTACTGGGTGTGAGGACAGGTGGCCCAGGCCCAGCGGCCCTCTGGAAGCACCCTCCCGCTGGCCTCTGCCTGAAGGAAGGGCTGGCAGGGAGAAAGGGACAAACTTCAGCTTCGATCCAGACCTTCGGAGCAGCTGGGGCCCGGCCAGGGCTGGGACAAGCATCACAGGGTCGGGGGGAGGTTCTGACAAGCTCTCCCCCCTCGCCCCCCACTCATGAGCTGCCCTGTGTCCCCACAGCTTCACCGCACTCGGGAGCTGGTGGTGCACGCAGCCACCCTCTTTGGGAACCTGCAGTCCTTCCTGAGGCAGGCACTGGACCAGGCCCTGGCCACGCAGGCTCTCTGGCACTCCCTGAGCAGCCGGCTGCGAGTGAGTTTGAGGCCTGACGGGCGGGGAGGGAAGGGGCCTGCCGGACTCTCCGTGCGTCCGCTTCCCCATCTGGGAGTGGGAGCGGTGGCCGAAGCAGGTGGCTGGGAGGGCCGTCTATCCAGCCCTGCTCAGACGCTCGTGGAGCACCTTCCCGGCCAGGTGGTGAGCTGGCTCTGGGGAAGAGCAGTCAGAACTGACCCTCTGTCCTGGGATGCCACCAAACAATCCCATCCTCACATCACTGCCCCCGCTGGGGGGGGAAGCCCCCTGTGCCCTGGGAGGGCGTGACAGGACTGGGGCATAGTGTAGAGAATCAGGTGAACAGGCGAGGGGACAAGACTCGCCAGCGGGAGGCGGGGACTGCAGAGCCCCAGTGAGTGTTGTCGGGGGCTCAGCAGGGGAAGGGGGGGGGAGGGGGCGGTGGGGAGGTGGGCGTCAAAGCAAAGCTTTAAGACAAGTTGAGCTGCCCCTCCAGACCTTGGACCCTGGTGTCCATCGCTGAGCTGGGGGCCTCCAGGAGATGCTCAGATGCGGGGGGTGGGGGGCTGGTGCTCCCGGCAGAGGAGCGGGTACAGCCACCAGGATGGGGGTGCCTGAGCCTGTGCCTCCCTGCTCTGCTCCGCAGGATGTGCTCTGCACCCCTGCACGCCGACTCCTGCAGGACAGCCAGGACGTGCCCGTGACGGTCGCCCCGCTGCGGGCGGAGCGCGTGCTGCTCTTTGACGATGCCCTCGTCTTGCTGCAGGTTGGGGTGGGGCTGACCAGAGGTCCTGGGGCCGCAGTGGGGGCCTGGGGTCTGGCTGAGAAGGCAGTGGGAGGGAGACAGCTGGGAGCGAGAACTCGGGGCTCGTGGGGAGGGGATGGGGCCTGAGAGGCAGGCAGCGCTGGGGTGGGGGCAGCAGTGGACTCATCCCTGCAGGAGGGGCGCGCTGTTGGGCAAGGCTGCTCCAGGTGTGTCCCAGCCCCAGCCCTGGCCAGCCGGCATCCCTGCTAAACATACCTCGGTTTCCTCATCTGGAAAATGGGATGCTTGGGAGTGAGTTTCTCCTTCCGCGGATGCCGGACGACTCTTAGTTGTCTTCCTCACATAGGAGAGGAGCCCCGGATGGGAGGTCCTGGGTAGCTCTGGGTGGCTGAGGAGGGCTGGATGGGCAGGGCACACATGAGGCTTCTAGGGAAGAGCACCACTTAGAAGCAGTACCTGGGCTCGGGACATCAGCAAAGTCAGCGGGGAGCCAGGCCGGGGGTTTGGGATTGTTCCCTGGCCTGTAACCTTGACTGTGCCTAGTTCCCCCCAGACTCAGACTGTCCCTGTGATAGCTGCAGCACTGTCCTCTCTGTCCCCTCAGAATGTCAGTCTGGGACTCCCCTGCAGACAGGGAGGCTGAGGCCTGGCAGGGAGGCTACTTGCCCAAACCTGTGTCTCCTGAAACCTGGTTTTGGGGTTCTGATTCAGTTTGAGTTGTCCTCCACTCCCGACTTCACGTTCTGCACTCCAGGTACACTGATGAGATGCTGTCGCTTAAATGCGCTGCACCCTTTCCTGCCTCTGGGCCTTTACATGTCCTGTGCCAGGCCCACCCTTGTCCCTGCCTGTGTCTGCCATCCTCCTCCTGCCCTTTGGGCCTGGGCCTGGCGCCCCCTCCTCCTCCTGGAGGCAGTGACCGGCCTGCCTAGGCTGGGCAGGAGGTCTCTACACGAAATATTTTAGAGGAAGGGGTGTTCATCAGCTCTCAGAGCAGGGACGGCCTTTCAGGTAGAAGGAGCAGCGTGAGCAAAGGGTCAGATTGAGGGGGGTTGGGGGCAGGCTTGAGAAGGTGTGAGTGTGGCAGGGCCATGGCGCCTTGGTGTGGCAGGCACCAGGAGTGGGGACCTGTGAGCTGGGAGTGGTCTGTGTGGCCTCAGGGGTCCGGCTCAGCAGCGAGGTCTCCATCCCCCAGGCGGTAGGAGCCTAAGACAGGTTTCCAGCAGGGGCAGATGGTGTCTAGCTGCAGCCATGATGGAGCAGGATGTGGGCGGCGGGGGAGGCTGCTCCTGGGTTCCCGGCCAGCCCTCAGATGGGAAGGGAGACAGAGGGGCCGCCCTGGAGATGGGGAGCAGGCTCAGTGCTGGGCATGTTGGACTGAGCGGCCAGGGGACACCCAGTGGTGTTGGCAGCAGGTTGGTGCCTGGGCCAGAGCAGTAGGGGAGTGTCTGGGCTGGGCCCTAGGTGACGCCGGTGCCCCATCTTCTTCCAGGGTCACAGTGTCCACACCTTTGATCTGAAGCTGGTGTGGGTGGATCCTGGGCAGGACGGGTGAGCAGCCCCCTCCAAAGATACTCGGGCCTTCTCTCCCTCCACCCTCATGAAACTGCCCACACCCCAGGGCTGGGGCCTCCCGAACACCCTCCTGGACAGAGCTGGGGCCTACTCGTCACCTCCATCTGTCTAGGTGCACGTTTCACCTCCTCACACCTGAGGAAGAGCTCTCCTTTTGCTCCAAGGCTCCCCAGGACCGGGTGAGTGTGGGTGAGCTGGGAATCGGGGCGGTGGGGTGAGAGGAGTGAGGAGGGGCAGGGGAGGGCACAGGTATACCACCCTGGAGGCTCCATGGGAGTGGTCAGGCCTCTGGGCTCATGGTCAGAGCGAGGCGCAGTGGTCAGCCTGGGGTGAGGCATCAGAATGCCACAGAGCACAGGGCATTTTTCCCTATGAAGCCAGGATCGAGGCCTGTGTGGGTCCCGGTGGTTCTCTCTGGCCCCTCTGGGCAGGCCTGAAACTGCACACGGGGATCTCAGGTCTGGATGCAGGGCCCGAGGGAGCAGTGCGGGGCAGTTGGAGGTTCCGCCAAGTGCCAGAACAGGGTTGGGGTGGTGGAGGGGTACTGTCTGGAGCTACCCCACAAGGCTTCCCAGAGGGACCACTGGCACAGCAGTGACCTCTCCTCTGTCTCCCCTGTCCCCACCAGGTGGTCTGGCAGTGGAAAGTGACTCAGGCTGTGTGCCAGGCCCTGCGTGGGAAGAAGGACTTCCCTGTGCTGGAGGCGGACCTGGAGCCTTCTGAGCCCCCTACCTGCCGCTGCATGGCATATACCTTCCGCGCCGAGGGCCGGCTCTGCCAGGCCACCTATGAGGGCGAGTGGTGTCGGGGCAGGCCCCATGGCAGGTGAGTGACTGGGGCTCCGGGCCCAACAAGGCAGGGCTCTTCCTGGGGGTCTGAGGGGCAGACAGGACCTAATCACCTCCGGGCACCAACCAAAGGCTGTTCCTTCCCGCATTGGTCGGTCTACCCACAACTGTCTCCCAGTCTGTCTTAAGCCCCGTTGGACAGGACCGGGCCCATTGTAGGTCTGTGCCGTGTAGAGTCTTGATGATGGTGATGAGCCCAGAGCACGTGGGAGAGACTTCAGGTCTGCAGTTGCTGTTCTTGGGAGGACGGAAGGATAATTCTCACGTCCACGTAGCACTAGCTGGTAGTGGAAATGGTTCGCAGACCTCCTATCTCCACCAGTCTTTACAAGAACACTCTGGGGGGAGTGTTCTCGCCCATTCTATAGGTGCAGAAACTGAGGCCAGAGACTGGCATGACTTGCCCAAGGCCTCAGGGCAGGTTCTAGGTCTGCGTGACCCCGCAAGCAGGAGGGCTTTGGAAGAACATGTGACTCCCCCCCCCCCCATGCTATACAGCTGGGAAAGCCGAGGCCCAGAAAGCAGAAGGGCCTTGCCGAGGTAATGCTCACAAGCACGTTAGTTTCTGAGACCTTGCCTAGTTCAGAAAGGGCTTGAGGAAAAAATGAACAAAAAAAAACCCAGAAAAAACGATGCTGCATCAGAAGAGGGGAGGAGGATGCTAGAAACCACTGACTAGCATTTGACTTAAGCTTGAAGTTTAGCTCGGAGCTTTCGGTGGGTCAAGGGAAAAAGGGAACCTGGATGTTTCCAGAGCTCTCCCCGTGGGGTGTGGGGAGTGTGCTGGAAGCTGCTGGGGCAATTGTGCCAGGAGTCAAGAAGAGCTGAGAGCCCCTGTGGGTCAGAGAAGAGGGCTGGCTAGGGGCAGAGAATCCAGTCCAAGGGGAACGTAGGCCTCCGAGAGAGTCCGCTGTGGAGGTCAGCCGGGGGGCCTGTGTGTGTGGAAGGGTGGGTCTGGCGGGCCTGATATGTGGACCGTGGACCTCGACTGTCTTCCAGAGGCACCCTGAAGTGGCCCGATGGCCGGAATCACGTGGGGAACTTTTGCCAGGGCCTGGAGCATGGGTAAAAGGCTGGGGCTGCTGTGGGAGTGGGTGGTGGGCAGGCGAGTGGCTTTCGCCCCCGCTGCTGTCACCAGCCTGGCCCCATCCTCGATTCCCAAAGCTCAAGCAGGAACTTGAGGTCATTTGGTCCAGCTCCCCTTAGTGCACAAAAGGGAAAGCCCAGAGGAGGGGGCGGGCCGTGGAGGGAGTGGTCAGGGCCCCAAGGTGCTCCCAGGGTGCATGAAGGGCAGGGGGGGGGCGGCGGCTGGCGTTCTGAGAGTGGCCCTTGGGAAGAAAGGACGCCTGAGCACCTGCGAGATTGTCCCCATTGTCTGAGAGGGCCCCTCGGAGGCAGGGACACTCCGGGGTGGCATGGAGGGGTGTCGTGGGATGTCTTGGGTCAAGGCGACGGCCCAGGTGCTGACTGCCCTCCCCGCACGCACACCGGCAGCTTCGGCATCCGCCTGGTGCCTCAGGGCCCCGAGGACAGGTTTGACTGTTACAAGTGCCACTGGCGGGAAGGCAGAATGTGTGGCTACGGCATCTGTGAGTAAGTGCCCGGTGGCCTGGTGGCAGGGCGGGCGCGTGGGGTGGCCACGTCCCCCGGGCTTCACCTCGGGGGGGGCCGGGCCAGCTGTCGGTGGCCCTCTGCAGGTACGGCACCGATGAGGTGTACAAGGGCTACTTCCAGGCGGGCCTGCGGCACGGATTTGGGGTCCTCGCGAGCGCCCCGCGGGCCCCGCAGCCCTGCAAGTACACGGGCCACTGGGAGAGGGGCCAGCGGAGCGGGTACGGCGTCGAGGAGGACAGTGCCAGGTGAGCGCTCTGCCGCCGCCTGCAGGGTGAGGGCAGGCTCAGGGCTCAGAGTCCCTCAGAGCAGGGTGCCTCAGGGCACGGGGCCCGTCGTCAGCGGGTCCAGTCCATCTGTCCCCCCAGAGTCCCCCTGAAGCCCCTCACTTCCTGTCCACAACCTTGGTTGAGGCTGAGGTTTTAGAATGAGGGGGCCCTGAGCCCCCTGACCGAGGAGCCTCCCCACACCCCTCTGGCCCCTCCTTGCGCTGTCTGGGAGGAGTTTCTGACCCCCCCCCCCCCCCCCCCATCTAGCCCCACGTAAGGCCCACAGCCCTTCCCAGCTCTCTGGGCTGTGAGATAAAGCCCAGGGCTCTCGGCCTGGCATTGGAGACTTCACCCCCTGCTGTGCTGCCCCTGCACCCCTCCAGCCTTCTAGACCACTGGATGCCCCCTCATACCCGTCATTGTCATATCGGTTGTAGGCTCCTACCTCCATGGCTTAGCACTCCATCTGCCCTTCCTGCCACCTCCCCCAGGAAGCCTGCCAGGATATGCTTCCCCAGGCAGGCTCCCTCCCTCCTCCACCCTCTCTTCCTCTTGGAGGTCCTCACTTCTCTCTCCCCGTGTGTGAGTTGAGTGGGTTCAGGTGATATCATTGCCCCTTACCTGCTCTCCACCCACCCCAACCGTGCCAGCAAAGCTCACAGAAGTGCCCGGGAGTGATTCTGATCCCACTCTGGCTGCTCTCCAGGGGCGAGCGCTATATTGGCATGTGGCAGGCCGACCAGCGCCATGGCCCAGGGGTCATGGTCACCCAGGCTGGTGTCTGCTACCAGGGGACCTTCCAGGCGGACAAGATGGTGGTGAGTGGGGTGATCCGTGTGTGCCCTGAGCTACCCTCTCCCTGCCCTGGGGCTGAATTCTGGAGCCCCCCCGCTGCTCTCAGGGCCCTGACGCTGAGCAGAGGCTGGGCAGGGGTGGATGGGGCAGGAAGCTGGGTTCCTAGGTGCTAGAAGGAGCCAGAACCTCAGCAGGAATGCAGATCTGCCAGCCACCGACCCTGGCCTTGGCCCTCCCAGCCTCAGTTTCCCCATCAGCAACTCAAGTTCACTACTTACTGTAAACATTCAGGGAAATTAGCAAGAATGAAGTGCATGGTAACAATGATGCCTGCAGCCTCTGCAGTGGACATTTATAGACCCCTGACTGGAGCCCTGGCTCCGGGCTCAGCCTCCCGGCACGATCTTGGCATCCTCCCAGTAACCCTGCGGATCATGTCACTGTCCCCAGCGTATGAATGACATACGTGAGGCTCGGGTCAGAGAACCTGCCTGGTGTCACATTCTATTGAGTGGCAGGGCTGAGACTCACCCCCAGGTCCCCTGAGCCCAGGCGCACCAGCACCTGCCTCCTACTTCACACACACCCGGCCAGATGCTTCGGCACATAGTAGGACTCTGGCCTGGGGACTGTTACTGTTATTACGGCTTGTACATTGGCTTATGCTCCACTTTGTTCTGGAAAGGACTGAAGGAGGAAGAAAAGATAAGAACAGACACAGAATAAATTCAAGTAGGACACAAATTATATCCCATTGGGCCCTGAGCTTCCTGGCAACCAATGCAACAAGGGAGCATGGTCAGTTCTGTCTCCAAGGATCAGTGACAGGGAAGTGGGGATGGCTGAGGAGAAGCTCAGCACTTCTTGAACCATAGGTGGGGAAGGAAGGGCCCCCAGGAGGCTTCCTGAGAGAGGCTGCTGGGGAGAAGGAGCGAGGTCCCAGGGAGTCCTTCGGGGTAACCCAGGGATGAGGTCCATGGGGCTGGTGCTCAGTGCTCAGCAGGCCAAGGGCTGGCATCCCACCTTGGCACAGTGCTGGGAGGTGTGACAGGGCTCAGGACTGTTCTGCCCCTGGGTTGATGCGTACCTCCTGCCTTCCTGCCGTCCCCTCCCCACCCCCAGTCTCCTGGCCCTTCCCCTGCTTCTACTCAGGCTTCCTTCCCTAGGGCCCCGGGATCCTCCTCTCTGAAGATGACTCCTTGTATGAGGGCACCTTCACCAGGGACCTGACCCTTGTGGGGAAGGTGAGGACCACCGAGACCCACTGCACTCCCGCCGAGGCCTTGGGTGGAGCCTGTAATCTCCCCGCTTGGACCCAGGACTGAGGGTGTGGGCAGTGGGTGGGAAAGGTAGGGGAGGGCCTCTCCCATCTCCATGGCGTCCAGAGGGTGGGCGCCATGATCCCTCCTGCTGTGGAGTGGGGATTCGATCCTGGTGGGAGGCAAGAGGGGCAGGTGGACTTGCCGTGGGTGCACAGGGTGCTGGTGGCCAGGCTGTGACTCCCGACAGGGCCCTAGGTGCCTTGGGTAGGGGCCCCTGGAGTGACTGTCCTTCAGCATGGTCCTGCCCAGCTGACGCAGCAGAAGGCAGTTGGGTCCTGCTTGGGCTTTTGGAAATGTGGGGGCTGTTTCATTCACCTAATGACTGGGGGGCACTGTGGCATCTAAAGGGGGGGAGGCCAGGAGTGCTCGGAATGGGACAGGCCATGCAGCGGGAACTGCCTCTCCCAGGGCCAGCATACTTCATGCCTTTCCTAGGCCTCTTCCTACTTCTGGACTTAACCCCCCCCACCACCACCAATTCCCACAGCAGTGGTTCTCCTGCTCTGACCTGAGGGTCCCTTCCCCTTCCCCTCCCAGTCTCCCACCTCTGAGCTGAGCCCCTGGGCCGTTGGCACAGCTCTTGGCCGGGGGCTCCTGCAGGTGTGGAGGATTATGAGCCCCTCGAATGGATGGTGGGAAGGCGACCTATCAGTCCCTAGCCTCCGTGACCCAGGATGGACAGGCACGAGGCCTGTCCTGATTGGGGGGAAGGGCAGCTGGACAGACAGACAGACAGGCGTCCCTGCTTCCCTTCCCTGGTTTGCAGGGCAAGGTCACCTTCCCCAATGGCTTCACCCTGGAGGGCTCTTTTAGCAGCGGGGCAGGGAAAGGACTGCATACCCAGGGTGTGCTGGACACAGCTGCCTTCCCACCAGATCCAAGCAGCACCCGTAAGAGGTGAGAGCCTGGCTGGCCGCCTGGCCTGTGCATTCCGGAGTGAGTGTGTGTGTGTGTGTGTGTGTGTTTCCACCCCAGGGATGCAGGCCTCATCAGGGAAGCTTTTCTGTATTTCCTCTTAGCTCTTTGGAGAGTTCAGAGAGCTCAGGTCACACAGCCCTCAAGTCAGGGACTCTTAGGATCAATGGCTGTGGCATAACTTCACACACTACAAAACCAGAGAAAAATATTATGCAGAGACTTTGCTTAGGCCCTGCTTTATTTCTGGGAAGGGTACGCGACAGTTTGTAAAAACAACACAAATAAACAAGAATAAAAGGGAGAATAAAAGCATGAGTTGAGGGGCGCCTGGGTGGCTCATTTGTTAAGCATCTGCCTTCGGCTCAGGTCATGATCTCAGGGTCCTGGGATCAAGCCCTGCATCGGGCTCCCTGCTCAGCGGGGAGCCTGCTTCTCCCTCTCCCACTCCCCCTGCTTGTGTTCCCTCTCTCGCTGTGTCTCTCTCTGTCAAATAAAATCTTAAAAAAAAAAAAAAAAGTATGAGTTGAACTTAAAGGAAAGGAAGGGACAAATAAGTCCTATAATGGTTATGACTGAGCATGAACCTAGCTCTGAGTTCCCTGGCAGCCAGGGTGAAGAAGGAAACTTGCAAAGTGGACTCATTGTTGCTATCATGGGGTCTTTGAGAAGGGGATTGACTTCTTCCCCATGGGGACAGCGTTCTTCCTTGGAAAACTATAGTTCAAGTGGTGACTTTTACCATGTCTGTTGAGGTGCGGGTGGTAGTTCTAATGGTCCCAGGCGGCATTTCAATTGGGGGGAGGGAGTAGAGTTGATTACTAGAGCCTTCATCCTTGCATGCTTCTCCCTGACAGCAGGAGCTGGGAGTAGACAGCAAACCCCAGAGGTGTGGCCAAGCCTGGGTGGGGTGCAGGTGTAGGAAAATCTGTGAACCTGGCGTGGGAGGGCGGGGCTCCCTTAGGCACACACGTGGCCAGACCCCCAGGCCTGCTGGCCAAGACAGGATCAAGCTCAGAAAGGAGCCAGGTGTGGTGGGAGGATCCTGGATTCTGGGCCCTGTTCTCTCTTAGGCCAAGAACCTGCTGTCTGGACCTGGCCTCCAGCTCTCTAGATCTTTCTGTCTCCTTTCCAGGGCTCTGTGTGTCCCTTTCTTCTCCACTGTGGAGTAGATTCTCTCTGTCCCTCTCTCTGCCTCTGCTTTCTTCTGGAGCCTTGGAGGTCAGCGCCCCCCAGTCCACCCACCCTTCCTGGGCCCTGACTCGGGGCCAGGTGGGACGTCCCCATCTCTCCAAGGGCCTGGACTGGGGTCCTCACCACAGCCCCATCCCTACCTCCCACCACTACGCGCCCCCCGCCCCCGCCTCTATCGCAGGCAGCTAGGTGTGGGCGCCTTCCCTGTGGAGAGCCACTGGCAGGGTGTCTATGGCCCCTTCCGGGACTTCGTTAGTGCTGGCTGCCCTGGGGACGAGCAGGAGGCCCTGCTGGGCTTCCACGTGCAGAACTCGAGGGAGCTGCGCAAGTCCCAGGAGTACCTGTGCTGCGAGAGGTAGGCGCAGACACGCGCACACGCATACCCGTGGGGGCATCCAGAGGGCCAGGGCGGGGGTTCGCGGGGCTCTGAGTGAGCTGGGGAGGAAGGCTTCCTGGAGGGGGCGGGCCGGGGCCCAGGTGTGGGTGAGAGACGCGTGTGCCTGGTCCCCCAGGACCCAGCCCGAGCCCTGTGCGGACAGAATGGAAGGCATCCTAGATGAGCTCCTACTGCATCGGGAGCCCAGGGCCCTGCGGGAGTGCCTCAGGAAGGTGAGGGCCCTAGGGTAGGCGGTGTGCGCGGAGGGGGGCCTTCTCACTGCCCCCGGTGCTGACCGCTTCTCCTCAGAGGGCCTCAGTGCTCCCATCTATGAAATGGGAGCAGCCTTGGGAGCCTCGCTGGGGCGTGCTATGCTCCAGCTCCTGGCCCCAAACTCCTCGCTGTTGCCTTTGCACCTGCCAGGCTCTGAGCAACTCGCTGCACCCCTTGGGAAAGCTACTCCGGATGCTGATGCTGACCTTCCAGGCCACGTATGCGGGCATCGGGGCCAACAAGCACCTGCAGGCACTGGCCCAGGAGGAGGTGAAGCAGCACGCCCGGGAACTCTGGGCTGCCTACAGGTGAGCGGGGTGGCACATGGGGACAGCCGCAGCCCTGTCTGTGACGGCAGGCAGGTAGGGCTCTGTCCTTGCCCGATGTCAGGTGCTCTGCCTAGCGCCCTGGGCGGGAATGGTGCCTCCGGACTGAGAAAGAACCAGAGAGTGGGTCGGTCAGTGTCCCGCTGGTGAGCAAAGGGGTTAGAAGGTAGGAGGTTATAGCAAAGACTGCCTGTAGCCAGAGTCCAGGCCTCGACCAGGCCCTGGGCTGACCCCTGACCCCAGGGGACCTCTCAGCCTCCGCAGGCTGAGCCTGACTCTGGACTCAGACCCCATCTCCAGTCCCGGCCGAGCCGAGACCCCATCTAACATTACAAATGGGGGCCCCAGATGCTGCAGTTCTAGCACTCTCGGGCTGAGGTCCTGTGCTCCCAGCTTCCTAACTACAGAGGTCTGGGAGGCTGGGCTCCTCATGCTCCATGGCTCTGGAGGGTGGAGCCCGCCGCCCTGGTCTTTGGTGACTCGGGTTCTGGGGGAGGTGGCAGCTACACAATCTGTCTTATCGGTTTGCAGGGGTCTGCTGCAGGTGGCCTTACAGCGCAAGGGCCAAGCTCCAGAGGAGGACGAAGATACAGAGACAAGGTGACCGCTCCCATGGGGTCTGCAGGGTCCCCACCCTGGGGGCAGCCAGGCTCAGGACCACCTTCGCTCCTAGGAGCCTCCCTTGGGGGATAGCGGTACTTCCGGGGAAGTGTTGGGGGCTCATGCTATTGACCAAGCATTGTTTGTTGACCATTTGAGGATCAGAATGACCCATGACCTCTTCCTTGGGTCACCTGGGCAGGGGCGCTGCCACCAGGTGCATCTTTTATTTTATTTTTTTTAAAAGATTTTTTATTTATTTGAGAGAGAGAGAGTGAGCCAGAGAGAGAGCACAAGTGGAGGGGAGGGGCAGAGGGAGAAGCAGATTCCCCACTGAGCAGGGACCCCGATGCGGGACTCGATCCCGGGACTCTGGGATCATGACCTGAGCCGAAGGCAGACGCTTAACCGACTGAGCCACCCAGGTGCCCCACCAGGTGCATCTTTGTTGTAAAGGTGCCATCCCAGCCTCCTCTCTCAGGTGTGCAGAAGGTGAGCCTCTCTCAGGGCCTGGCAGGGGCTGAGCCTGAGGCCACACAGAGCGGGAGTTAAAATGCATCATTAAATCTGTCTCCTCTGTCCCCCAAGACCAAACCTTACAGTTTGCCTTCAGATTTCAGGCCCAGAGATTGCGATCAGGGAGGCCTGTCTCCACATTGCAGGAGACGTGGGAGATAGGGTTAGATGTTAGGTAGAACTTTCCCCCTGGAGTCCTAGGAAGCCCAGGAAATGAGGAGGCAGCACTGGACCAGCCTGACATGGCTGCTGAGTGCTTTGCTGCAAGTCCCTTGTCTATCCGGGGCCCTGGTTTTGCTTTCAATCACATGGGGATCCAGTCCTGCCCCAGAGTTCATAGTGATTCTCAGCGTCTAACAAGAGGATCAGGGGGCCACGGATTTCAACTGAGGGAGTGAATGACTGAGAACAGGCTTCGGAAGTGTTTTCTAGAGGATGGAGGAGGCAGGGACGCTTTTTGCTGTGGGACAAGGAGCTCTATGGGCTTTTTGAGGGGCAGCCCAAGCAGGGATCCCTCCCCCCTGGGCCCCACCCTGCTCGCCCCCCAACCTGTCCTGACTACTGTCACTCAGGGACCTGCAGGTGCATGGCCTGGTGCTGCCCCTTATGCTGCCCAGCTTCTACTCAGAACTCTTCACTCTCTACCTGCTGCTTCATGAGACGGAGGACAGTCTCTACAGCCAAGGCATTGCCAACCTGAGCCTCTTCCCTGACACCAAGCTGCTCGAGTTCCTGGACGTGCAGAAGTAAGCCTTCCCTCCTTGCCATGTTTGCCAGGGCCCGTGTGCACAGAGGGTACACACGGAGTTCAGTGGTCTTTGGTAGAAAAGGGGATGGTGTTCATTGGCTCACGTATCCACAGAGTTTCTAGGATTATGCTGGTGTGGCTAGCTTCAGGCATGGCTGGATCTAACTGCTTAACTACGTAGTAAGGGAAGCAACTTCTCTTTCTCTCTTGATGTATCTCTGGCTCCCATTTATGGTGCCAAACATGGTACCAGCCACTCAAAGTTTATACTCTACTAGCTCCGTCCCCCACTGTGCCCCAGGGAGCTGGTGTCCCCTTCCTAACAGCTCTGGCTGAAGTCCCTCACTGGCTTGGCTTGGGTCTTGAGCCTGCCCCTAGATGTTGGCTGTGGCCCACATTGGCCAGTCTACCTCAACATCTACTACTGGGGCTGGGGCGAGGTGTCCTGCTTCCAGCAACTGGACTGAGAGTGGGGGAGGGGAGGTCCTCAAGGGGAAACTGAGGACTGTTCTGGGAGCAGGTCCCTTTTACCCTCAGTTGCTAAAACATCCTTTCTCCTCAGTGCCCCTTCTGATCCACTGATGCTACAAGTCACCACCTGCCCGATGGAGGGCATGGGTGCTCTCTCTGCCCCACACCCAGTCTCCCTTGTCACACAGCCATGATGCTTCCCACCCGCCCGCTCTGAAACCCCGTTTCCCCTTCCATCGTGAATGTCTCCTGCAACTGACTAGTCACCAGCCCAGAGACCTGGGTGCCAACAGCTTCCCAAGTGTCCCCTCCTCCCCACCCCCTCCTGCTGCCTCCTCCATGCTGGCCTCCCTGCTCCATTGTCTCCCCAGGTCCCTGCCCTGTGCTGCATCGCATGGCACCCATGTCCCTCCCCGTTCACCAGCCTGCCCCAGCTCATCAAGCCTCCAGAAGAGTCTCTTCTGCTGTCATTCTCTGGCCCAACCCCCGGGACTTTGCTCACAGGGTCCCTTGGCCTGCAGTGCTGCCCCTCACCCCTATCCAAGTTTTGGGGCACTGTCTTCTCCAGGACTCTTCCCAGCCTCCCCTTGCCCTGTGGACCATCGTGGACTCGGAGGCCATCTCCTGAGCTCAGCCCTGCTGGGGGACACGGTGTACAGGGAATTTGCCCTCTGACCTCAGACCCTGTCCCCTCCTCCTGGTAAAGGTTCTGTGTCACACTTGTTTCATTTCAGGCACCTGTGGCCCCTCAAGGACCTCACGCTGACAACCAATCAGGTGAGAAGGTGGGTCCGTTACCTGCCCCAGGTAGGGGGAGGCCTGAGCCTTGAGCGGGGCCCCCAGAGTCTGTTCAGCCTTCTGAGCGGCGCTCCGCCTCCCTGCTACGGAGGGGCCTGGGCAGCACTGGCCAGCAGGTGTGGGGGGAGACACCGGCTTCCCGGGTTGTTCTGATCTCCCGTGTGGGGGAGGGGGCCGTTGCTGGCCCACCATGAGCAGGTGCAGACCCAGGCTCCACCCCGCTTCCTGGCTATGCGGCGTGGGCGGGATACTTATCTCGGAGCCTCAGTTCCCCCGCGGATGAGAGTACCGGCCGCTGAGGCGTTGGTGCCCCCTCATGGGAGGGTCGGGAGGGGGCGGGGGGCCGCTCCACACGAGGTGGTGGCTCTCGAGGTGGGCGTGCTGGGCCAGCAGCATCTGGGAAGCCTTTAGAAAAGCAGATTCTTGGCACCCCCAACCCCAGACATAATGAGTCAAACTCAGACAGCAGACCTGGACTTTGTGTTTCAACAAGTCCTTGGGTGGGAGTGCCGCTGACGTGGGAACCCACCCCCTGTGGTACCCAGTGGCCATTGGGATCGTTATCTTCCTTCCCAACCTCCCGGAGACATTATCCCACTTTACAGTTGAGTAAACTGAGGCTCACGGTGGAGCTGTGACTTGCCCTGGGTCACTCGGGGCTGGGCTCTCCTGGAGCCAGTGATGGGGAATGGTGGGTGGCAAGAGCTCTGGCCCTGGGAGGGAGGCGGTGACAGGGCCGGGGGGACCATGGCCTCATCCATCTGTTCCCCCCCCCCCCCCCCCCCCCCGGCAGAGACTCTCCCTGGTCAGGAACAAGTGCTTCCTGTCAGCCACTGAGTGTCTGCAGAAGATCATGTGAGTCCATGCCCTGGGCAGGGTGGGGGGCGGGGGGCAGGAGTGTGGGGGCCCCTGGTTGGGGCTGAACCCGAGGGCCTTGATCTGGAGCCCGCCGCCCTGCTGCAGCACCACGGTGGACCCCCGGGAGAAGCTGGAGGTGCTGGAGAGGACATACGGGGAAATTGAGGCCACTGTGTCGCGTGTGTTGGGCCGGGAGCACAAGCTGCCCATGGACGACCTGCTGCCGCTGCTCATCTACGTGGTGTCACGTGCCCGGTGAGCCCCAGCTGGGCCGGGGGCTGGGGGTGGGCTGTGGGAGGACACCACCTCCCATCCCGCCCTGACCCCCAGCCCAGACCCGCTTGGAGGTCTTTGAACATTGGGGTTTATGGACACAGCTTTCCTTGGTATGGAGCGGGGGTCTGAGGCCCAGAGAGGCCCCACCTAGGGTCCCGTGGGGGCCAGGAGCAGAGCGGGGACCAGCCCAGGTGTCCATCCACCCAGGCCAGGGCTCCTTCCCCGGCTGCTTGGTGCCTGTCTCTGATGGGCCCCTTCTCCCTCTCACTGTGGGGGTGGGCGTTCTCCAGAATCCAGCACCTGGGAGCCGAGATCCACCTGATCCGCGACATGATGGACCCCATCCACACAGGAGGCCTGTGTGACTTCCTGCTCACGGCCCTGGAGGTGAGGGATAGAGGTGGTGGACGGAGGCAGAAACACCCTGGCCAGTGGGGCAGACGCCTTCCCTGCCCTGGACCCCAAATTCACTGCTCGTATGTCCTTCTGTGGGCGGGACCCCACAGAGTCCCTGGCCCTGCCCTTGCTAAAGGGGCTGGAGAAGGGCCCCCAGCATGTTCCAGGGACATGCCCATGCATCCCTGGGCATAACAGGAGAGGGGAGGCCCCCCTTCCTTGCAGACTGTAGCTGAGGCTGAGTTGGAGATGGGTCGGGGTGGTCCCAGGCTGGGGAGATGGGTGCCCCCTGGGTATTGGTGTGTCTTTGCATGGGGCCGGGGGAGCTGCCCCTCAGCCTCGCCTCTTTCCCGCCAGTCCTGTTACGAGCACATCCAGAAGGAAGACATGAGGCTGCACCGCTTTGCTGGTCGCTGGGACTCCAGGGAGCCCTGGTAGCTCGGCCGCCCCGGGCCCACTGCAGAGTGGAGAGGGGCCGCCACCGATTTCCCCGGGGAACAAGCCTGGCCCGGCCTGGCCCTCGCTGCCCACAGAGCAGACGACAGTCTGGGGCCCTGGAGGTGGCTCTCGGAGGAGATGAGCAGTTCAGCGTCTCCCAGGGAGACGAGGCTGCCGCCCTGAGCACAGCCCACTGTGACCCTGGAGCCCTCCCCCTGCCACTCGGTCAGTCGCGGACCACCTCCTTGACCTGCCTTGGCTCACGGGCTTTTTTGCCGCCTGACCCCGCCCAGGCCTCAGCGTTGCTGTCTGTATCCCAGTGGCTTAGATGGTCCGTGACGGACCTTCCACCCATCTTGCTGGATTCTGGAGTCTTTCTGTAAGTCCGCCATTATTCAGCTGGGCTGAAATCCTCGCATCATCGTCGGTGCTGTTCCCTGTTTCTCCACTCTCGGTCAGAGGCTCCAAGTGGCTAGTGACCGCTCTGTGTGGTGGAACTCTTGTCCACGAGCGGCCTCTTGGGGACCTGCCTCCTTCCCCCTTCCGGGGCTGAGCTGGCCTCCCAGGGAGGCAAGGCTGAACAGACTCCCGGGCCACCTGACCTGCTGGATGGCCTCGGGCCAGGCCTTTCCCCTTGGTGGTATGCGATCGAGCAGGGGCTTGGAAGTCTCTGCCGGCCCGTGTAGCTGTGGGGTACATGTTGGCGCCGGAGCAAGCTGCGGGGCGGAGTGGGGACACTCGCCTCGTTTGCACACCTCCGGGGGGCCCCAAGTGCCTGCAAACCACAGGCCCGCAGCCCACAGGCCTGGGCGCAGGAGGACAGCGGGGGCACGGGTGCCCCTTGGGAGGGGAGGACTTTGTGCCCATGGTGGTTCTAGTGTGGGACTGAAAGACACAGGAGCAAGGCCTGGGGGGGCTTCATCCCTGCCTGGCCTCAGTCTCTCCTCCCCCCATCGAGGGGCTTGGACCAGGTGACCTGGAGGGGCTCCCCCTGTCCTAACGGGAGATGTGTGACAGTAGGCAGGGTGACCATGTTTTGAAGGGTCCAGGGGCGAAGCATGGGGAGAGGGTGGATTTATGCAGTTTTGTGCCCCTAGAGGGCAAGCTGGGCCCCGGCACCATGGCCATCCTGCCACCATGCCTGGGGTTGTAAGCGAGTCAGGTCACCATCCTTGGCTGTGCTTTCCATAACCAAAGCACTGGCCTCGAGGCCTGTGAGGGAGGGGCTGAGGGAGGCTCTGAGAAAGCCCAGTCTCACCTGAGCCCAAGGCTGAATCCCCACCGGGAGCCTCAGGGTCGGGGGCTGCTGGTGGCCGGGGGCCGCCCACAGACCCTCAGATGACGTAGGGCTGTGGGGCAGGGGTGAAGTTTTCTGGGGCTGGTTCCACCAAACTTGGCAGTGTGAATGAAGTCTTGGGCTCTGGTTTTGCCAGAAACCCCCGTGGTGTCCCCCAGGAAGGTCCCTGGAAGGGGGCGGGACTGATGAAGAGTGAGGATATCCAGATGTCATGGGCGTTCATGCTTCCCCAGGGCTCTGACAGCCCACCGGTACTTTAATCCTCTTCAGTGGTCATCAGCGAGTTCTTGTCTCTTGACAAGTGCAGACGGACTTGTCTTAAGGTGGCCCTGAGTTGGCACGATGCTCTAGCCCCACTCCTTCAGGATCCGTGAGCTCTCCCTGTAGTTCACATTCACCAGGACGCCCCCACCCGCCGTCGCTGGGCCTTGTCCACCACCAGTTGAGCTGGACCCTCAAGGACAGGGTCTCGGGAGACCCCGAGGGCAGCTGGGTCTGTAGCGGACCCTTACAGCAAAACCAGAGACAGTGAGGATATTGACACGGAGGTCAGTGTTCATTTAAAGAAGCGACACCTGGAACCAGGCCATCACCTGCCGCGTGGGTGCCTCAGGGAGGCCGATGGAGATGGGTCACCTGCAGGGACCCCAGCAATGACCTCTCCCACCTGCTGCAGGAGCCCCTTGGCTGCAGTGAGAATACACTAGCATCTATATGGGAGGTCAGGCTGGCAACTGGGGACTCCAGCACCTTGGTGAGCTGGCCAATGTCAAAAGCGGCCTGGTGGGGCCTGGCTTGGGTCCCGTCTGCCCTCTGTTCCCATCTGGTCCCCATCTTGTTTTCTGAGATGAGGATTCTCCTTTCAACAGTGATGGTGACAAAGTGATAAAATTCATTACAACTGAACCTCATGATCACCTGGGCCAGAGAGGCGAGAGGCCGGGGGTGGGGGTGGGGGGATCCTGTTCAACAGCTGCAGGCGGTTTTCTGACCGGCAGCAAAGGGCCACACCAGCCCTGTCCTCAGGGGCCTGGATTTGGGGCTGAGAAAGAGACACTGAGATTAAATGGCCTCTGTGTGAGCAGATGTACCTGTCACATAGCCCGACCACCCCCTTCCCACTGCAGCCCAGGCCCTGTCTGCAGCCTCTCATGCAACCTCTCAGTCCCTGCTTCCCCTGTGCCCCCCACTTCTGCCCCCACCCCTCCTCGTTCTGTGCCCTAGATGTGCCCTCCTCCAGCCCACTGGGTCCCAGGCTGCTCCATCATCACAGGCCCAGCTCCCATGAGGCCCTTGTGGCCCAAGGAAGGAGCCTCCCAGCTCCTCTCTGGGGCCCATTCCCTGCCTCTGTCATGTTTCTGGGGCATGACAGGTGGGGGCCCTATCCTCCAGGTACAGTGCTCACCGCCTCTCCCTGGGCACCGATGATGGTGGGCACTGAAGCTGGAAACAGGTTGACTCAGGAAAGGTCAGACGGGGAAGGGCCGCAGGCTCTAGGGCAGGTCTGCGTTCAAGCCTGGCCAGGGCAGCGTCTGTGAATACAGAAGCCCTTGAGGTGTAACCAGCATAGGCAGGGGCCCCCCGTGGAACAGAGGCCCGGCCACGCTCAGGCCAGGCGCAGACAGGAGGTTGATGCCAAAGCCCCAGAGAAAGGGAAGAAAGGACAGACGCCCTCTCTGTCCCCAGGGCTCAGGTTGACCACCTGGCAGCAATGTGGCTAGTCCAGCAGGTGTCTCCATGCACTAATCTGTTGCAGGGTTGAGCTCCCACTGCAGGAAATGCCAAGGGGTGGCCAGGTTATAGCTGTTGGATGGTTGTGTTTGGTGGTGATGGTGTCCTCCTGAAGGGGAGCGGGGCACAGAGGGCCCCCGTGAAGTCCCCTGTAGGGACTGCCTCCCTCCCTCAGTCAGCGAGCCTCATGCTCTTGAATGCCAGCCCTCTTCCCTGCATGGGGTACCGTCTGGACCATGGAACAGGTGAGGAGGGCTGGCTCTCCTCCCAGAAAGGTGCCAATGGCAGAAGAGGAAGCTGGAGAAGCCAAGTCTACGGCTACTCCAGAGTGGGAGCTGGGGGGCGACTAGAGGGCCCCCAGTTCTGACCAGGCCTCTATTCAGATCACCCCTGAGGGTGCTGGGAGCCAGGGCATGGCCCAGACAAATCCCTTGCCCACTGCAGCCTGGGAGAAGGCTGGAGGGAGGGCGGGGGGGGGGGGGGTTGCGCAGCAAGAGGGTGCAGGGCTGCTGGAGAAGCTTCAGCAATGCTGTGAGTAAATGCTCCCTGAGCGGGGTTCCCGAGGGAGAGCCACCTGGCCTCATTTGTCAGCTCTCCCAGAGGGATGGCTGGGCACTGGGGAAGAGGTAAGTTCAGGGTCCGGGTCAAGGTCAATGTTAGGGATTAAGGTTAAGGTCAGAAGCAGGGTCAGTGTCAGGTTAGGGTTAGGGGTTAGGATCGGAGTGAGGGCGAGAATTTAGAAGGAGTGAGGGTCAACGTTGGAGTGAGGATAAAAGTCAGGTTCTGGTCAGTTCAGGGTCCCGGTCCAGGTTGGGACTTTCCTGGTTGGCCTTGTCCAGGGTTGTGCAGATGTGAGCTCTGGCTTTTGTTACTCTTGTTGTGGGCAGGAACCAGGGGTGGGGGCCGGGCAGCCAGGGCCTCGGTCTCCCCGTGATGGTAGCCCAGTCCTTCCCCTCCCTGGGCCCTGTTTGCTGTCCATAAGAACAATCGCTGTGCAAGACCACTGTTCTGCCATCCAGGGAAGGAGGGGAAAAGCAGGCAAGAGGTACAGCTGGGACCCTGGGACCCTGGTGCTGTGGAGGTCCCCATGTCTCAACCCCTTCCAGGTGTGGTGCTTGGTGCACGTGAAGAGAAGGGCTTGGTTTGACTGCAGAATGGGGCTCAAACAACTAAGTACATTATTCATGACTCACCTGAGGCTGGGGGCTACATCCTGGCCCCCTCCACATCCTGCTGTGATTTGAAACAAACGTTCATTCCACGAGGCAGGGCAGGGGGAGAGCATGGCAGGGCTCCAAACCCATGGGAGTAAGACCTGCTGGCCCCCCTGTGTTGGGAAGGGTCCAGTGTCTGGGGACACCTTGGGTGAAGGCTGCTGGTGGCTGGGGATAGATGAGTCCTGTCCTGGCTTTTCCCTTGGACAGGGACACCTTCCCTTGTTCTGTTGGCAGGAAAGACCGGCTGCTGATCCCACAGGGTGGCGGCCTGGAGCTGCAGCGGCTGTGTCCAGTGCATGGGGAGCTCTGGGTCTGTGTGTGGGGAAGGGGTGAGGACCTTCGAGAAGAGGCTAGCAGTCCTGCTATCTCCTATGCAGTCCTTGAACTGTCACTCCCAGGTCTGCCTTCAGAGGCAAGTGCTCTCCCCCCACCCTTAGCTGTTGCAGTCCTTGTGAGTAGTGCGGGGGTCGGGGAGACCCACCAAAAAGGAGTGACCTCAGTCTCAGGGAGCCACTGCTTCATACAAAGGGATGCTGGTCATGCGGCCACACCAGGCTCAGTTTCAGAAACCAAAAGAACATGAGAGAGACCAAGTACAAACCATCAGTTGGTACACCTTCTGTAAACGGTGCAGACCAGTGGTTGCAGGTTGCCTCTGGACTGTCCCAGACACCAGCGTAGGACCCTATTAATCACTAATTCATGCATTTCATTCAGGTTTGGCCAAGGGTCCGTACCAGGCTGCAGGCATCCCCAGGGATAAGCAGAGGTGACAACAGATGAGTGGAGAGGAGCCGTGTACTCACACAGTGAACCTTGCCAATGCCTCCGAGGAAAGGTGACCTCGGTGACTGGGGAGCTGTTTGCGTCCCATGGGTCCCGTCCTGCATGGGGTCCTGCTCACTGCTGGAGAAAGAGTCCAGAAGACACTCGCCGTCTGTGTGGTCAGGGCAGGACGGGAGGGCTGTGTCTTGGCAGATGGCACTGTGGGACTGGACCTTGAGGAATGAAGTTGCCAGATGGACGGATGGCCTGCCCAGCGAGAGGGAAAGGCAGGGACAAGGGCTGGGAAGTGGGGAAGGGCCTGGCTTTTCCAGAATGTGGAGGATTGGGAACGAGTCAAGGAGAGGTCAGGTAAACCCAAAGTGAGAAAGGATTGCAAAACCAGTGGGGGCCTTTCCCCACATTTCCTGATTTTCAGCCTCCCGCGATGTCGTCCTCTGTCCCGGTGATGGTTGTCAAACACCCACCAGTTCTTTCTCCCTCTTGCCATCAAGACATGGAGGCAACAACCCCTCGCCTTCAACCTTGGCCTTTGACAACGCAGTGGGATGGCCGGGCCACCGGCCTGCTGAGGCTGGGTTCCAAAAGCCCCCAAGCCCTCTGCGTGTTCTCCTGGACACTCGTGCTGGGAGGATTTCACCACTGAGTGAGAAGTTGGCCACCCCGAGCAGCCGTGTGGGGAGACCATGTGGGCACACCAGAGAGAGAGAGAGAGAGAGAGAGAGATGGATGCGTGGCAGAGCCAGCTCATGTGGGATCCAGTTGCTTGGGTCTCCCTGCCCAGACCCTGAGCATGTGAACGAGAACACTTTTGGGGTGACTGCAGCCTTGGCCACCGTCTGACTGGAACCTCAGGAGATGCCCCCCACCCCCGAACAACAGCCGCCTAGCCGAGCCAGGCAACCCCAGATTTGGGGGCAAACCACATAAACGCTTGTGTTTCAAGCCACTGTTTGGGGGTATCTTTTGGATGCAGCAACAGATACATAGAACCGTCCTTTCTCCATTACCTACTACCCACCTTTCGTTACAAACACTTATATGCTTCCTTTTTAAAACCGGAATTTATTAAGATGGGAAGCTTCATATCCCCATTGTATGTGGAAGTCCATCGTCGATGGCAATAAGTGGAAGACAATTGGAGAAAGCAGCACAGGAAACGAGCGACGTGATCAGTGTCTGCGTAGGGACAGCCCCCGGGGTGGGGCTGAGCCCGGCTGGTGGCTTCCCAGCACTCACAGAACCTGTTCCCGAGCCCCCTTCTAAGCCCCGCCACCCGCTGAGATGCACCCCTTTCTCCGAGTTCTGGGTTCCTGCCCCATGGGGCCCATCTTCCAAGCCTCTTAAGTTTCAGTATTTTTAGCCTCTTTCCTTTCTTCCTCCAGCCCTAGGGAGAGGGGCTGCTTTCTGTAATTCTTTTTTTTTTTTTTTAAAGATTTTATTTATTTATTCATGAGAGACAGAGAGAGAGAGAGAGAGGCAGAGGGAGAAGCAGGCTCCCAAGGAGCAGGGAGCCCGATGCAGGGCTCGATCCCAGGATGCTGTGATCATGACCTGAGCCGAAGGCAGACGCTCAACCATCTGAGCCACCCAGGCGCCCTGCTTTCTGTAATTCTTTTGAGAATTCTTGTTTTGCCTTTTCAGTTCTTCAGTTGCTGGGTGTGGTAGGCAGCATCATTGTTGCCCCAAAATAGCCATGACCTAATCCCCAGAGCCTGTGAATTAGTCACCTTACTGGCCAAAGGGACTCTGTAGATGTGATTAAGGTCTTGCAATAAGGAGATTATCCTGGATTACCTGGGTGGGCCCAATCTAATCACAAGTGTTCTTAAAAGTGGAAGACAGCAGAAAATCAGAGGACGGAAAACCTCTAGAAGCTGCAAGAGGCGAAGAAATGGGTTCTGCCCTAGAGAGCTTCCAGGAAGGAGCACCGCCCAATGAGAGCTATGTCAGATTTCTAACCTCCAGAACTGAAAGATAATGAATTTATGTTGTTTTCAGCCACTAAATTTGTGATAATTTGCTATAGCAGCAATAGAAAACACATAATATAACTGGCGGTCATCCTCCCCGGCCCTGGGGACGCACACTCCTTCCCACTCCCTCAAGTCCCAGCTGCTCCCTGTCACTCCAGATGGTGGGCAGACCCCCCCTTCTCCTGCCTCTACCTCTGGGGGCTGGCGGGCTGTGACTCTCAGCAAGTTCTTCCCTCCGCTGTCTCTGACCTTGTACTTCCGGTCACTGGCCCCTCGATGGCACAGAGTCCCCAGGATTCAAGGGTCCCAGGAAGCCAAGATTCTGTCCCCTCCTTGCTCGTGACATCTTCAGCTCATATATTCCCCCGTCATCGTGTAGGGCCTCCTCAAAGTGGAGACTTTTGGCTCTAAACCCCCTCCAGGCCCTTCTGGTCATGTGGACCCCACTCACTCAGGGCAGGTGACAAATCAGACCCCCTCCAGTTCTCTCGCTTGAAAGAGTGGTGTCACTTCTTCCAAGAACCTTCACAAAAATGAATACCAGATGAAAAGTTAGAAGATAAAAATAGAACTCTAAGAAAGTTAAAAGAAAAGACAGGAGAGTAAATGCACAAATTAGGATGTGAAAGACTACATACGTTATCTACGGACAAGCATCAACTCCTGTTGCTGATGCCTAAAGGTTCTTTGGGCAAAGTTAAAACAGTGGACAACCTAACCAGCTGTACCACCTATCAGAACATGGGTTAGAAAACCGATTCAGAAGTGGAGGGTAAAATGAAGTCCTCATGCATGTAAATAAATAATAGTTCGGTGTTGGTGAACAGAATATCCAAGATAGCCCTAAAGTTTCAGGAATTAATGACTGAGGCTGTGCTCCTGATATACTAGACAATATAGAAAAAACCTGTGTTGATTGAGAAAAGAATTACAAATTTAGCTTTGAACCACTATCTCTCTAAAAAAAAAAAGGTGATTTATTTTCATGCATCTGTTACTCATCTATGTGAAAGCTGGAAAGTAAATCTTTGCAGTGTTTATTGACTCTAGGATCTTCTACCTTTCAGGGTGTTCTTATCAGGCCTGGGAGGAATAATAATATAGCGCCTGGGGGCAAAGAGGCAGCCTAGTAGCTTGGCACTGAAGGCCAAGATAGAAAGGATCTCCATGGCCATGTTGACCTTCTCCTTGGTGCTGTGATGGACAGGGAGGGAGGTCACCCAGGCACTGCAGGAGAGCAGCATGCTTGAACTTGGCTTCATCGAAGCCCCAGTGATGCTCCCCAGGGCCAAGGATCCCAAGTATCCTTGGATATAGTAGAAGGCAGTGGCAGAGCCCTCACTGCATCCAGTGATGATGTGTGTAGATGCAGAGTGTGTGTTCATTTCAATGAAAGGAGGAAGAGGTCCCAACCGGATTCTACAGATAGTGACTTGGATCGCGGTGCAGATGGGAATGACAGTTAGGTGCTCCTGATAACAGTCCTGCTTCATCCTCCTCCTTGGCACAGTTGTCTTGAAAGCCAAAAACCACAGTGATGATTTTAGCCAAAACAGTGGAAGTAGCCACAGCGAACACAAATGCAAGTGTCATTTGTTGAAGTAGGTAGGTGCCTTTGTTGGGAGGGCCAATAAAGAAGAAGGAACAGGGGAAGCACAGGAAAAGGGAGGTGAGCCAGATATAGCTGAGAGTTGGCTGTTGGCCTTGACAAAGGGGATGTCTTGGTGCTTCACAGAGACCCCGAGGACCACAGCCATGGGGACCGAGAAGCATAGATTTGTGCAGGCTGGACCCATCCCAGTGGGTCTTGATAAGTCAGGAAGGTCGGTTTCTTTGGGAGACAGTGATCTTGATATGGGTTTGAGTACTGATGATATGGTATGAAATTTGTCCCTGATTTTCGTTGAAGTGATCAGTGGTACTACCTCGCCTCTGGAAGATACTCAGGGCAGCTCAGCTCATGGACCTGGCTGGTCTGGATGATGGATTCTCCCTAGACTTCCTCCTTGCATGCTAAGGGGGAGGCTGCAGTTGCTACAGCATTCCACCAAACCCGGATTCTTCCCTCGGGCCAAGAGGAGCAGTCAATACAGAAACTAAAGGAGAAAGCTTTCTAGGTAGAAATCTCTGGGATTTGTTCCACTGGTTGGATCTAGGACCCTGGAGAACGTGGCTGTGGTCAATCCTGCAGATTGGTTTCTTCCTGTGGCTTGAAGTCCTGCTCATAGTTGGCGTAGTTGTTGTATTAATCAAACTAAATGAATTTGGCTAGCGTGTCAGTCAGATGAATTGGGTCAAGAATGAATTCTTCTAAATCCTGTGCAAGAGTCTTTCCAGAAAACCATACCATCTTCTCCTCTGTTTTACTTTCCTCAGTTTTTTTTTTTTTTAGATTTAATTTGTTTATTTGACAGACACGGCAAGAGAGGGAACACAAGCAGGGGGAGTGGGAGAGGGAGAAGCAGGTTTCCCGCCGAGCAGGGAGCTGGACCTGAGCCGAAGGCAGACGCTTAACGACTGAGCCACTCAGGCGCCCTGACTTTCCTCAGTTTTGTCCTCTGCCTTCTTCATATCCTTCCCTCTTCTTGTCTCAAGTTCTATCTACGTAGACTCAGGAGCTGTCCTGCAAGACAGCCTTCTGGGGCTGATAGGATCTGAATGGGGCCACTGTAGTGACCACGGGCATGGACCACCCATCACTAAAGCCTCTCAAGGTATAAGTGTACAGTTATGTTTATTATTAACTACAGGCAGAGGAGCTTCAGAGCACAGGTGGAAAGGTTGTGGGAAGTTTCCAGAAGCACCATACCCTTGTAATGCCCTTCACTTTAGAGGCCAAATGGAAACACTGGGACAATTATGAAATCCTGAAAACTTCCTGGTCAGGAATTGGTCTTGTAAAAGGGGGAGGCATCTGAAGCTTAGCAACTGACGTCAGCCTGTTTTATGTTGACTGACTTAGACCAGCTGAGCTAGCTGTCTGCTAAAAGGGGGAGGAAGTAAGCCTCGAGTGACATCAGCCCTGCTTTGAATGGGGTGTTATTTAAGACTTTGTCATCAGGCGCCTGGGTGGCTCAGTCGGTTAAGCGACTGCCTTCGGCTCAGGTCATGATCCTGGAGTCCCGGGATCGAGTCCCGCATCGGGCTCTCTGCTCAGCGGGGAGTCTGCTTCTCCCTCTGACCCTCCTCCCTCTCGTGCTCTCTGTCTCTCATTCTCTCTCGCAAATAAATAAATAAAATCTTTAAAAAAAAAAAAAAGACTTTGTCATCATGCAGTGTGCTTGTGCTATAGGCAAACACTCCATTCATTCATCCAACAGATAAGTTTTGTGTCTCATAACATATTATGAGAGTTGCTCCAGACCCTAGGGCTGTACCGGATGCCAAGGCAGCCAAAGTTTCTGCCTTCGCGTTCGGCCTCTGAACCCACCCTTCACCCTGAGATGGGTCCTAGCCCTTCCTGGTCCTGCGCTAACTTATCTACCCTTTCCCCACAGCCAGACTATGTCCCTGGAACCACCCTTCACAGTCTTCTTCCATCTAATTTCTCAAATTCTCCCAAAGCTGGCCTCCAGCCCAGCAGGTGCTTTATCCTGGTGACTCTTTCATACATTAGAGAGGAGGAGGCCGTGTGGGCTCACCTCCAGGGAGTCAAGTTTTCCAAAAGGCAGCAGTTAGGACTATTCAGATCTCTGAGAGGACACCGCGCCAAAGGGGCAGAATGAAACCAATGGGCTTCAAGGCCTGAGTCATCCTCTAAGGCTCTTTTTGACCTTGAACAAACGAATCCTATGTGATACATCTGTTGTTTTCCAGGAACAAAAGCAGGTTCCATCGAAACATGTTTTCTGGAAGAGAATTCCAGTAGAGCTTTAAAAATGACAAGTTACATCCATACAGGTGGATGTGAAAATTCGACTTTATGTATCAGTCCTACGAGAGTAATTTTCATTCTGCTTGTATTTACGTGCGTTACAAAAAAGCATCTAAAACACTTGTAACCAAAACATACCAATCAATAAAAATCTCTTCAGTACAGATTCAGCCTAAGAATAGGATAGAGCCCAACAAGTTAGCAGTTGGATGTATTTCAAAAGATAGACATTTTGGGGCGCTTGGGTGGCTCAGTCGATTAAGCAGCAGATTCTTGATTTTGGCTCAGGTCATGGTCTCAGGGTCCTGGGATCAAGCCCCATGTTGGGCTCCATGCTCAGCAGGGAGTCTGCTGGAGGACTCTCTCTCTCCCTCTCCCTCTCCCTCTGCCCCTCCCCAAACTCGTGGATGTACTTGTGCACGCATGTGCTCTGTCAAACAAATAAATCTTAAAAAAAAAAAAAAGGCATCTCTTTTTGATACTCAGAGACAGGATACTTACAAATGGTTTCACCTGTCAGCACACCCGTAGTAAAACCCTCCCCATGGAAGTGGGGTCTCCAAAGCCAAAACTCTTCTTCCCACTCATCATACCTTTGGCCGTGAGTTCATCATTCTCTCTGATGGGTCATACGCATTGCACTGGAGACCAGCATGGGACCAGCCAAGATTCCTGTCAGCTCTCTATTCCCCATTTAGAAGACCAAACAGACATCAAAACAGGCCCTGAGATATCTATTTTTACTCTCTAAACAGTGTCCTGAGGAGGTAACGTTCTAGACTCTCTGGGCAGTGACTTGGGAATAGAATTCCTTCTCCATACTACACTCCATTTTAAAAGTACTACATCATACCAAGTTTCTTGAGTGACCTACAACCCACCAAGCCAGCTCCCTTGCACCTTTCTGGAGTAAGCCATCGTTCACAGAAACGAGGTGACAACTGCCCGGAGGAAGGGAAGATGGGGGACTCTGAGCTTCTCTTATAGATTAAGCAGCCTAAAGATGATACATTTTCATTGCTTTAAAATTACCATCACCCTTGAACGAGCGTGTAGTCTAAACCTTGTAAACTTTAGGAGGTGGCACCGACAGTTTGAAGATGCACCTGGCAGATTTGTGAGTGGCCTAGAGGGGCGGTTTAAGGGAAGGGACGGAGTTGGGGTGACAGGGTTTAGTGTGAGTATCTGGGTGGGCAGGGCACCGGTTACAGAGGGAATGAGATCGGGGGTTGGTGGAAGTTGGAGGTGCGTATGGAGAAACTTTCTGGAAATATCTCCTTAGAAGAAAAAATGCTTTGATCTTAAAAGTCTCAATGTAGGGGCAGCCTTTAAGTGCACTCACTGGACGGCCTTTGGTGACTCTGAAGATTTTCACTCGTAAAAGCTTAGCAATCTTTTCAGTTGTTTACCCATGACTGTCACCGTCCGTTTGCCTCTCTTAACGTACCACGCGTCAGGTACCGTAATTCGTTATGAGGAACTGTGTTTGAAGATGACGAAGCTAAAGCTCAGACCTAAAACAACTAAGGTCACCTAGCTAGAAATATGCACAGTAAGTTCTCTTCCTGTGTTTTCACATTGTATGAAAAGTCAGCCCAATCCAGTAGATGCTTTGTGGCTTTAAAACAGCACCAGCTCCCTGGTCCTTGTGAAATGCCTGCTACCCAGAACCTTCTCCTGACCATCAGGGCCTTCCTCCAGGGAGGGCACAGTCCTGTGGACCCTCTGAGAAAAGTGAGTTTGAGAGTGATGTCATTGAAAAACCCTTGGAACCCTCCTGGAATATATTTATGGTGACTCTATTTCTTCACCAAACGTTTTGAACAGGATCAGATATCGGTAGCCCATTTGCAGTAGGGATTGCTCTGGAAAGCCCGTTCAATTCTAGAAAGCTTATTCAATTCCCCTGGTGATGGAACTGGGAGAGTCTGTTTGCAGGATTTAGTCCCTGGAGTGAGTGGACTCTGGGTAGTTTCCTCCCAGGGAATGACCCCTCATACCAGATGGCTCAGACTGACGCTTTCCCCTTGAGTTGCAGCTTGGCATTCTAGAACATTGTCCAAAACCCAGGGCCTCAGGTCCTGGCTGATGATTCAGGGGATGTGGGAGGCCTTGCTCTTAAAGAACAACTTCACTTCCTGATCAAGACCCTGAAATCCCCTTTAATCTATATGATTTGTGACTTTGGGAGTAAGAGAAATCAACTCCAGGCAGCTTAAAAGAAAGGAATTCATTCCATGAACCCAGCAGTCCCGAGGCCAGAAAACAGCCAGACTCCTGGAAGGGACCAGCACCAGACTGGAATGTCGCTCAGAACCTTGGAAGGCGCTTTTTTCCACCTCCTGTGCTTTTTCTCCTGGCGTCTGCTTCCCTGTTTCCTAGTGGTTAGACTTCTCTGCTTTCCAGTCATAGCAGGGGGCGGCCCCCAGATCGGTCAGGTTTCCATGGTGTTAGTTCAGATGCATGGAAGAGAACAGATTCTTTCTCGGTCCCACCCCACCCTCTGGGGAAATGTCTGCTGGGTCCGCACTGTGCTCTCTCCTGAACCAGAGTCAGGTCGGGGCTTGGTGGTTCAAACATGGCTGTCGTGGGGGGTGGGGGTGGGGGCGCAGATTTGGAGAGGAATAGCCAGAAAGTACGTCTTCTCCAAGTTTGGTCCTGAGCAGACTTTGCTCAGAACAGTGAGGGTGGGAGCGTTACTGGGCCCCAGCAAGGAGGTCCGTTGGGTCTGTGGGTGCTTGACATTTGGTCATAGTCCCCTTGGATCTATGGGAACTGTCATTAGTTTATACTCAGTACACTTTCCACTTTTTACTTGAGAAGCTGCTCCTTCTCCATTCCATGTAGGCCTGAGAGAAATCATATAGTATTTGTCCCTTTGTGGTTGGTTTATTATTATTATTATTACATTACTTTAAGTAGGCTCCATGCCCAGGGTCTAACTCACGACTCTGAGATCAAGACCTGAGCTGAGATCAAGAGTTGGACATTCAGGCGCCCTTATGGTTGGCTTATTTTACTCAGCATAATGTCCGATAAGTTTATTCATGTAGCCTGTGTCTGATACTCCTTCCTTTTTTAAGGTTGGATAATATTCCATTGTATGGATGCACCGCATTTTGCTTAATCATTCATCTGTTGATGGACACTTGAGTTGCCTCTCCCTTTTGGCTCTTGTGAATAATGCTGCTAGGAACATGGGTGTACAAGATCTTCAAGGTCTTGTTTTTGATTCTTTTGGGTGTATACACAGAAGTGGGATTGTGGAGCACCTGGGTGGTTCAATTGGTTAAGTGTCTGCCTTTGGCTCAGGTCATGGTCCCAGAGTCCTGGGATTGAGCCCCATGTTGGGCTCCCTGCTCAGTGGGGAGTCTGCTTCTCCCTCTCCCTCTACCTGCTGCTCCCCATGCTTATGCTCTCTCTCTCGCTCTCACTCTCTCAAATAAATAAATAAATAAATAAATAAATAAATAAATAAATAAAAATCTTAAAAAAAAAAGAAGTGGGATTGCTGGATCATATGGTAATTCTACATTTAATTTTTTGAAGAACCACCATACTGTTTTCCACAGTAACTGCATGCACTATTTTATATTCCCTCTAGCAGTTCAGAAGTATTTCAGTTTCTCCACATCCTCACCAACACATTTTATTTTCTGTTTTTTTTTGTTTTTGTTTTTGTATAGTTGTATTCTTTTGAGTGTGAAGTGGTATCTCATTGTGGTTTTATTTTGCATTCCCCTCATGATCAGTGATGTTGAGCATTTTCACATGTACTTATTGGCCATTTGTGTATCTTCTTTGGAGATTTCTATTGGATTTCTACTTGAATATGCCTACTCACGTCCATTACCCGTTTTTGAACTGGGTGGGGTTTTTTTGTTGTTGAGTTATAGTTGTTTGTATATTCTGGATATTAGCTCTTTATCACATATATGATTTGCAAATGTTTTCTCCCATTCCATGGGTTGCCTCTTCACTCTATTGATTGCGTCCTTTGATGTACAGAAGTTTTAAATTTTGATGTAGTGCAATTTATCTATCTTTCTTTTGTTGTCTGTGCTTTTATAGTAATATCTAAGAAATCATTGCCAAATCCAATGTCATAAAGCTTCCCCCCCATGTTTTCTTCTAAGAGTTTTATTGTCCAGCCCTTATGTTTAATTCTTTGATCCATTTTGAGTTAATTTTTGTATATGGTGTGAAGTAAGGGTCCAATTTCATTCTTTTGTGTGAGGAGATCCAGTTTTCCCAGCACCATTTATTGAAAAGACTCTCCTTTCCCCCCTTGAATGGTCTTGGCACCCTTGTCAAAATCATCTGACTATGTATGTGAGAGTTTATTTCTGGGCTCTCTATCCTATTCCTTTGGCCTATATGTCTC